AACCAGCTCTCCAGGGGTGCTACGCTCCTGGGAGGTGGAGCAATGCTTCATATGAAGTTTCTAAAATTCTTTAAAGAAGATGATCTCATGGGATGCTTAGAATCAACTCCTTACATCTGAGGAAGCTGAGCCTCATGGGTAGAGGGGGTTTTCTTGCTCAGTCCCTCAGCTGGTTCTTACTCTGAGACCACAGCCCTGAATGGTTTACCCATTGGTTAGATTCATTCAAGAGGCTAGATGATGGATGAGGTAGAAGAGATACTTCTATCAAGTTCAAGCCTGATTGATTGCCCAGCTCTTTTACTGCAGGGACTGATCTTAAGGGTCCAGTTCATACATTTAATCAGGATACCTTTTTCCTTTTTTGGAATTCAGAAAGACCGAAATTTGTTTTTAAATTGGAGTATAGTTGCTTTAGAATGTTGTGTTCATGTCTACTGTACAACAAAATGAATCGGCTGTATGTATCCATACATCCGCTTCCTCTTAAGTCTGCCTCTCACCCCCCCATCCACTACTGTACAACAAAGTGAATCGGCTGTATGTATCCATACATCCGCTTCCTCTTAAGTCTGCCTCTCACCCCCCCATCCTGCCCCTCTCGGTCATTACGGGGCACAGAGCTGAGCTCTCTGTGTTATATAGCAGCTTCCCACTAGCTACCTGCTTTACCCACGGTAGTATATATATGTCAGTGCAGTTCTTCCTACCTTGCCCTCCTTCCCCCAGAGCCGTGTCCATGTGGCTGTTTTCTATGTCTGTGTCTCTATTCCTGCCCTGCAAATATTTCATCTGTACCATTTTTCTAGATGCCATATATATGTCTAATATATGATATTTGTTTTTCTCTTTCTGACTTACTTCACTCTGTATGACAGACTCTAGGTTCAGCCACATCACTGCAAATGACCTAAATGTTAACTGCTACTTCTTGTTACAACAGTTGTCCTTCAAGGCCTCGAAGAACGCCAGTCTTTGTTTGTACCTCTGTTATTTTATCAAGAGTTTAAGGAATCACATTATAACGGCCATCGATGGGATGGGCTTCACTGGCGGCTCATACCATGAAGCATCTGCCTGTGATGCAGGAGACCTGGATGTGATCCCTGGGTCGGGAAGATCCCCTCGAGAAGGGAATGGTCACCCGCTCCAATATTCTTGCCTGGAGAATCCCATGGACAAAGGATCCTGGTGGGCTACAGTCTAGAGAGTCCCAGAGTCTGACACAACTGAGCAAGTAACGCTTTCATATGAGTACTTCTGCCCCAATAGCTCTAATTCATACAGGATCACTGCAAAGGTTTCTCATCATCAGTACTCTGCCATCCTCTGCTTTAGATGCAGCCTAGCTTGTCCAAGGTCTCAGACTCAGCTATGCAAATGAACAAATTCCCTCCAAATCATGAAAGGTCATTGCAGGGACACGTACTTATGGAAGCAAATTCTGTCCCCAGTGTTTGATCTTGGAGAGCTTTTTAGGTTGCCTCCTTGGTTTTCTGTATTCATTTTTTCCTCCTTGGTTTTAGATTTGGGATCTTAGATTTCTGTGTCCACAGGGTTCAATGTACACGACCTAAGAGGCAAACGGAGGTGAGTTCTGCCTGTGAATCAGAAGGTTAAACTCTCCCCTCCAACTCCTTTCTACTTGAAGAGTAGTATACCTACTTGACATGCGTAGGCCATTTGTGAATCAATAAGCCTGGTATTGTCACTCTGAAAAAATTGTTGTAAGTTCTAAGAACAAATAGAATGGCTTAAAAAAAATCTTGGGGAGAGATATATCTGGTTTATTTTAGAGAGAAGTCCAATGCTTTATAACCTACTGATTACCATTATAAAACATCTGTATTCTTTAGAGGAATGTTAAATGACAATAGACCTTAAAGTACTATATCCATTACCTTACTTCTGGTAGAGGCTGATTTAGGGTGATGCAGTTGTGATTTGCAAAGAGAAACTACCTGTGGAATCTGAATTTTAAGGCTAACCTTCAGGCAGAAACCATAGCTTACCTGCATGGAAAGGTAGGGATGATTTCCTCTCCCTAGTGGTACCCCCTCCCCCCAACCTCAGAAAAGAGGACAGATTCCAAGGCAGTTCTGACAGGAGATGCACTATCTCAGGAGCATTAAAAAATTCATTGAAGTAGAGATGATTTACTATATATATGTTCTTTTTCATATTCTTTTCAGTTATGGTTTATTACAAGATATTGAATATAGTTCTCTGTGCTATCCAATGGATCATGTTGTTCATCCATTCTGTATATAATATTTTGCATCTGCAAACCTCAAAGTCCCACTTCATCCCTCCCTTTCACCCTCTTCCTTGGCAACCACAGTCTGTTCTCTATATCCGAGTCTGTTTCTGTTTCGTAGATAAATGTTCATTTGTGTCATATTTCATTATGTTTAAGGACTTTCACTTGTAAAAATTGTTGGTTTACTTGGCTGCATGGGTCTTAGTTGCCGCACACGTGGTCTTCGTCGCATCACGTGGGGTCTTTTGCTGTGGGGCAGGGACTCTCCGTTGTGACTTGCAGACTCCAGAGTGAAAGGGCTCAGGAGCTGTGTGTGTGGGCTGAGCTGCTCCTCAGCATGTGGCATCTTAGTTCTCCCACCAGAGAGCGAACCTGTGTCCCCTGCATTGCAAGGCAGATTCTTAACCTCTGGACCACTAGGGAAATCCCAATTTGTGTCTGGTTTTGTGTTGTATTTTAGATTCTAGCGTTTTTGTTTTTATCTGTGTAGGACGTTGGGCACAGAGAGGGTTGTCCTGTTATGACATTTGTGCCAAGCTCGGATGGTGGGTATGATTGGTAGGTAAGACAACCCACTGTTCTTTGAGTAGTTTTGGTGGTGGTAATGGTGTCATTCCTAAGAAATTTGCTGCTGAGGGCCCAGGTCCAGAAAGTGCAACTAAAGTGATCCGATGATAGTGTACCTTCAGTGGGAGTGGGATGCTCGAGAGATGAGGAGTTTGCAGTCAGTTTCAGACAAGGGCCTGATGGAGTTTTGATGAAAGTCAGCATCACAGTAAAAGCTGTGAGCAGGGTGAGCACAAGCTTGTCTGTCAAATAACTGAGCACTAGGATTAATGGGTACCCAAGGAGCTGAAGGAAGGGAGGCACAGTGTCTGTTGGGTGTTAACCCAAAAGGCTCATTACCTTGGTGCATCAGTTAGATATATCTAGATCTGGCCGTGAAGTGCTGTTGAGAGATTTTTAAATGTTTAAGATGTATTCCCTGCTATCTATCTGGCCATCATCTCATTCTTTCCTTGGCTTGTTTTATTCAATAAACATTATTTGCAGACCTACTGTGTGCCTCTTTTAGGCACTGGAGACTAAAAAAGGAACAGAAGTGTGTCTTTTTTTTTTTCCAGAAGTATGTCTTGACATAACTACTAGACCTCTAGCTATTCATTGGCAGGTACATGTAAATATTCTTCATCAAAATTAGTCCAGACAAAGTCATCATTATTTCTTAGATTTCCATTAAACATAGAAAATAAAACCAAAAAATAGTTGAATCCCCCAGCCCTCAAAAAGCACTTAATAAAATTGGGAGTCACTATAAAATGATGTGGGTAGGTGTGCAGAGAGTGAGAGATGGATGTGGCTTTATAGGAATGTTCATTGGAAAAGACGCTGATGCTATGAAAGATTGAGGGCAAAAGAAGAGGGGGGCAGCAGAAGATGAGATGCTTGAATAGCATCACTCAATGGACATGAATTTGAGCAAACTCTGGGAGATAGTGGAGGACAGAGGAGCCTGGCGTGCTGCAATCTATGGGGTCGCAAAGAGTCAGACACAACTTAGTGACTGAACAACAACAAAAAGATTATCCCAGAAAGCTTTCTGGAAGTGAGGAAAGGAACGTCAGCCATAGCTGGTGATTTTGGGGAGGGATGATGTTTCAGCCAAAAGGTGAGAAAATCCTTGTAGCAGGCTGGCAGCTGTCTTGGAATTCCAAGGCTTTCTGTGTTTCTGGGGGTGGTGACACATGTGAGAGATGAGAAAAAGCCAGAGGTGGCGAGCCTTTCTAGCTGGGACATCAGTTTGGATCTGATCCCGAAGCGGGGTTTAACAGTCAATTCCCAGGTCACAGTGCATGATCTGGTTGGAAAGGCAAAATTAATATGCTTGTGGGGAAAATCACCCAGGAGTTGAGGCAGTACCAGTACCCTTGTCCCTAATGGAATTTCTGGGGGAAGATAAAGACTTGGAGATCTTTCCCTGATCTTTGACTTGTGGCAGCTCAACTCTGTTGTCGATATTGCCTGTGGTCACATTTCACTACAGAACAGAACTGGACCCTGTACCTGCCCAGGTGAATGGAGTTTCGCAGGCTTGACGAAAGAGGCCATGGTTTGTGATGTCAAAGTTAAGAGTTTCGAATTTTCACCTGGGCTTGCTGACATGATTTATTGGTGGTTTCCTGGCCCTCCTGGTGTGGGGCAGCGGTGAGCAGTGCTTCATGTGGGTACAGATCAAGAAAGGGTCTCCCTGAGTAGATTTTTGTAGCTGTGTTGTGGTAATGAGGTTCATTGAACATTTTTGTGGGTTTTGGGTTTTTTGTTTTTTTTTTTTTGTATTTTATTTTTAACTAGAGGGTAATTACTTGACAATATTGTGACGGTTTCTGTGATAGTTCAACATGAAATAGCCACAGGTATATACACATATCCCTCTCTCTCAAACCTCCCTCCCCACCTACCCCTCTAGGTTATCACAGAGCTCTGGTTTTGGGTTTCCTGCATCATACAGCAAATTCCCACTGCATATCTGTTTTACATATAGTAATGTATATGTTTCAATACTACTTTCTCAAGTCATCCTACCCTCTCCCTCCCCAACTGTGACCAAAATTCTGTTGTTTATGTCTGCGTCTCCTTTTCTGCCCTGAAAATAGGATTCGGTAATAATCTTAAAGATAGGGAGAACAAGAGCTTCACAGGTTTTTGTGATACTGAAAAGCGATCTAACACTAAACATCTCAATCAGCGCTGTGCTTGGTGACAATGAACTATTACTATTATTGACTACTGCCTTGGCCAAACTTCACCTTTCCTTCCCCTGTCTGTTAGTTTTTGCTGTCTTTTGTTTGTGGCCTGGAATTTGCCCTGTGGATTTTGGACAATCCAGCTTTTCTGGTTTTGACCCTGAATGCTATTTGCAAGGACAAGCCTACTTTCCTTGGCCTCATCTCACCTGAAAAACCACCTCTGCTGACACCTCCCACCCTCCAGTCACAGGGATCAGCCTGGGATCAGCCTGCTTGATTGGAACTGAATTGGCCCAGGTACCCTTTATGTATTGTGTGTGTGTGTCGAAGTGTAGGGAGGGTGGGGAGGTTTGACAGGGGGTTGAAATGGGAAGAGAATGTGCTGAAGACAGCACAATGGATAACGTCCCCTTTTATACAGAGGATGGCTTCTTGAAATTCTTTGCAAACATTAGATTTTCCTGGCATCATATTTTTTTCACACATGTGTATGTACAGTAGAGAAGTCTATCACTCCCTGAGTCTATAGACATTATTGTATAGATGTTTATTATAACTTCAAGGATATTTGTTTCCATTTTGTATTGAGCCTTGATTGTCAGTGACTTTCAACCTTTTGTGTCTTGTGGCCACTTTAGATGCTTTGCTAAGTTGTAGATTATTTGTAAACAATCTGTTTAATATGCTGGGTGAAAAGACTATTTAGAGGAACTCTGGTGAATCCCTTCATAAGAAGTAAAGAGTATTTAGGACTTGTTAAGTGCCAGATGTTGTCCTGGCAGTAAGTCCTTTCTTGCCTCCCATTGATTTGTAAGATAGCCTTTTTGAAGTAAACATTACCTCCATTTTTGCTTTTCCAGTGTCACACACCTAGCATGTACTAGGATTCTTTGGGTTGTAAGCAAAAGAAGATCTACCACAGATTGATTGAAATGGTGAAGGGTATTTAGTGGTTTTAGGACTAAGAAATAAAGTGATGGGATAGGCTAGAGATTCATGTTGGCATTAGGGATCTAGTTTCATGTCAATGGGACTCTTTTTTTTAAAATTAATTTTTTATTTGACCATGTCAGGTCTTAACTGTGGTGTGTGGGATCTTCAGTCTTCATGTGGCATGTGGGCTCTAGGTCCTGACCAGGGATTGAACCCAAACTCCCTGCATTAGGAATGCAGAATCTTAGCCACTAGACCAGGGAAGTCCCTATAGGACTCTTTCAGCTCTGTCTTCTCTGTATGGGAGGCCTCACCTTCATTCTGTCTTCAGCTCATGGAAGCAACAATAGCCTCAGAGTTCTAGAGGAAGAGCCAGCAACTTTGAACCAGCACTGCAAGTAGAAATCTTGAAATTCACAAGAGTTGGACTGGTTGAGGTCATGTGTTTGCTCTAAACTGATCACTGTGGCCTGGGGAGAGGATTCCATTGCTTGTACTGACTTTAGATCACATGTCCTGAGGCTGAGGAGTGATATCAACTTCTTGAGAAGCATAAATACAAGCAGAGGCTGTTTGTTAGAAGAAGTGAGAAGAAAATGAGTGTTGGGAGGCCATTCATTGGTGTTCACTACAGAGACAGGGCTGGGGTTTGTTTTCCTTTTTTTTTTTTGGCTGCTGTGGGTCTTCATTGCTGCCCATGGGCTTTCTCTAGTTGCAGAGGGTGGGGGCTACTCTCTAGTTGTGGTATGCGGGCTTCTCATTGCAGTGGCTTCTCCTGTTGAGACCGTGAGCTCTAGGTGGAAGGCTCAGTACTTGTGGTACACGGGCTTAGTTGCCCTGGGGCATGTGGAGTCTTCTCGGAACAGATATTGAAATCGTGTCCCCTGCATTGGCAGGTGGATTCTTAACACTGGACGACTAGGGAAGTATGAGTGCTGGGGTTTGAACATAGTACTCTGTCCAGTCCCAGAACCTTGTCATCCAAATGATAACCTCCTTTGAAGTTGCTTCCCCTAGGATGATTATTAACTGATGGCTGATAACCCTCACTGTCAGTATTGTTTCTCAGAAAGCCTCAGGCCATAGTCCTTTGCGTGTCACTCTCCAGGAGTCTGACTTGGGTTACATGTCTAATTGTTCAGAAACTCAGTATGCTCAACTCTTAAACAAGGGGGTTGGTCTCGGTTAATTAACCCTATATTTATTGAGTATCTGTGATGCCAGTTTCTATGTCAGGGACTAGAGTTAAAACAATATGCAATGTACACATGACCTCTGCCCTTATTGGTTTATTGGAAAAGATAAGCATTGACTAAATGGTAAGACAGATGTAAGATGGAGTTCTGGCCCTTAGCAAATAGTTAATGAAAACAATCACTTAAATACCTACTTTAAGCCATATTCAGTTCTACTATAGGGAGCCATAGGGCAGCTACAGGAAGACTAGAGTGACTAAGAACCCAGGATGGGGCCTTAGGGGAGTGACGTTTAGAGCCTGGAGCTGCTGTGAAGGCCAGTGGGAACTTTGCGATCCATCTGGCCCTCAGGGAATCTGATGGCCTTCCAGTCTCCACAGTCTAAGAGGTAATTGAGAGGTCACATCAAGTCTTGATTTTTCTTTTAACTTTTAATTTTATATTTGAGTATATTTGATTAACAATATTGTGTTAGTTGCAGTTGTACAACAAAGTGATTCAGGTATACCTAAACCTGGATCTATTCTTTTTCAAATTCTTTTCCCAGTTAGATTGTTATATAAGGTTGTTATATAATATTGAGCAGAGTTCCCTGTGCTATATAGTAGGTCATCCTTCTCTCTCCAAGCTCCATACGAAAAGTTACCTTTAGTTTTCTTTATTGTAATTATATGTTTTCTTAGAGTTAATCTCTCCATGAATCTGTTCTTCAATATGTTCAATAATCCAGATTTCAAATTCCTTCAAAATGTTCCTTAATGAACAGATAAAGAAGATGTGGTGTACATATACACAAGAGAATATTGTTCAGCCATGAAAAGGAGGAAAATCCTGCCATTTGTGACAACCGTGGATGTGTGGACCTTGAGGGTATTATGCTAAGTGAAATGTGTCAGAGAAATACTGCGTAATATCACTTCATGGAATCTAAAACAGCAAAACTCATAGAAACAATAGAATGGTGGTTGCCAGGGGCTGGCAGGTGGGAGAAATGGGAAGATATCCATCAAAGAGTACAAAATTCCAATTACAAGATAAATAAATATGGGGGATCTAATGTACTGTAAGGTGATTATAGTCAATACTATATTACATACCTGAAAGTTGAAAAAATAATGTTCCTTATTTCTTCAGACCTTCAAAAATTATTGTGGAAGTTTCTTGCCTGTAACAAGTATGCATTGAGTGGTTCAAGCCTTGTTCTATATCTCTTCCATAGTACCCTCAACCTCCTCGAGTTCAGGGTACCCCTTCTTCCAGACTCTCAGGACGTATAGTCTATGCCTCCTGTGGGGCATCTGTATTCTCAGCCATTTTTTCATGGGTCATTCCAAAAGATGATATGTAATGATAACTAGAAAGGAAGTTGTGAGGTTTATCATGTGTTTCTAGATAAACTTGTCTCCAGACACCTGGGGAAAAACTTGCATACTATGGACAGGAAGGGTCATATCTGCCTGAAAAGAACAGACATGAATTTCATAATCTTGCAGAGATTCTAGGCTCTGATCTGCTTTGGAATGTTTTCATTTTCTTGAGCAACTGTTCCTAACTTACCTGCCACCAAACCATCCTACACTCTCTCTCCTTCTACCCTGTAATCATCTACTCTTCTCGGGAGAAAAACCTTTTAAAAGCAAGTTTGAGTCAAGTTACCAAAAAAAAGTGGCTGTGTGCTATTTCCATGCTGAGTTGTAATAGAAATAAAAAAAATTATCAGGATAAGTTAGCTTTATTATAGTTTTCCTTGTTCCCATATCAGCAGGGACAGCATAGTCATTGCATTAATAGCCTTAGTCGGTGGAGATTTGGGGGTGACCTCAGGGAACAGTTCACTATGTGTATTATGTTGTTGTTGTTGTTTTCCTTTTATTGACTGATGTGTATGGGAAAATGGGGGATGGAAAACAATACATTTCTTTGCTCTTCCTTTCATAGATTACTTGTTGCAATAATGATTAAGGTATTTGGGGGGAAGTCCACATTTTTCTGTAGAGGAGAAAAGTTAAACAGTGGGAAAGAGATAGGTTGATGGGATAAGAAACCTTTCTAGTGAGGGAACCCCTCTTTAACCTTGCAGCTGCAATGTATGTCTTATCCTACTGTGTGTGTGTGTGTGTGTTTATGTTATTTTCCAAGTTTTCTGGCGGCATTCCAGATATAGCATAGCCTGCAAATCTTTTGCAAATTTGCATATCCTTTTATGCTCAACTAAATCAATAAGGGACAACAGTTCCCTTTTCCTGGACAGAGCCCTGAAATTCATGCCACTCAGGGTGTGCTGGTGAGCCCTTGTGCAAGCCTAACCTGGCTGGGCTGTACTGAAAGTACCTTGTTCCAGCCAGGCATTCAATAAATATTGAATGGATACCCAGAATAGCAGCTTGAAGCTGAGGGTATTTGTGTCCCAGAGTGATCCTGTCAGTTCTTGGAACATGGTTTGGAAAGACTACCAGGGGCAGGCTTGGCTATCTGTGCATCCCAGGTCTAAGGGATGTTGTTTCCATATTCTGTTGGTTCTGTGAAGCAGTAGAGCCAGCCATGCAGGACATTAGGTGGGGCTGGAACATTCTGAAAGACTGGAAGCTTGAGAGGGGGAATAGCCATTTGTGCTTCTTATGGCAAGAGCAGGTCCTCTGATAGGAGATGTGGCTGGTCTGCTTGGCACACAGCGTGGGGGAGGAAGCAGACATGGACTTCAGTCTCCCGCATCTCTGAGGGGGCACTTTTCCTGACCTCTTGGTGATAAAGAAAAGCAGTTGCTGCAAACCACATGGCTTCACTGAAATAGATTCTGGACAGGGACTTCCCCTTTAACACAGAGCCAGACCGATGCATTGGGGCATGGCTAATCTGCCTCTGTAGGATTCAGAGACGGGATTTAAGTGTGGGCAGAGATTTTAATGGCAGTGGTTGGTTGGTTTCTTCCCCTGGTGAAACAGCAGCTATTTGGATTTACTCCTCTACTTTTGCCCTATTCTGGTTATTTCATTTCTTGGCCCATAGTTGTGAGCTAGGGAGATTTTTTTTGAAAGAAGCAGAAAGACTGGTGTTCCAGACTGGCTTCTTAGGAGGTTTTCTAACCTCACTTAAGTCATAAGGTTTGTTCTTTCGGTCTGGTCTAGGGAATAGGAGAGAGGGTCCTTCTTAGCATACAGATCCTGGGAC